CCACTTCAAAGAGGCCAGGTCCCTAGGGCTAGCCAATAGTATTATGGCTCCTGCAGATTTGGCTTGCCATTCCTGCTGGGTGTCATCTGTCCTCGGAGTCTTGCAGTGGATAATTTTTGTTCTCCCCAATATCATCAGCTTGAGAAATTTGTGCCTGGCAGGCCTGTCTATCCAAGTTAAGCTTGAAATACAGTAGCCATATGACCAATTTGACAAGGCATACGTAGCTCTAAACAATAAGGCCGCAGGCTTGCTTTGAGCAAGATGAGAAACTTCCAGCCACCTGATTACAAATTCCAAAGCTGCTTTGATGCAGTCTATGAACTAGTCTGTTCATGTAATGTAAGTTCTCCTTCTCCCCATCCCCATTTTTCCTGACCTTCTGCAACACACATACCTTGTCTTAAAAACCCTTAGAAGTTTTCAACTCTCAGACTGACCTCATGAGGTTTCCAGTTCCTGACCGCTTTCACCATTTGACTTGAGCACTGTCACTTGGATACAAGAACTCTATCATTGACTCTCATTATCAGATGCTGAGGGAACAGGAAATAGACACTGCAATAAAGCAGTGGTTCTCAGACCTTAGCATGCATGGGAATCACCTGGGGCTTCTCAAAGCACCGATTTCTGGGATCCAATTTGAGTTTCGGATTCAGGAGGATTCTAATACTGCTGCTGTGGTGACCATACCATGCAAACCACTGCACTACACCTGTCCAAAGCTTAGGTGACAGGCATACACAGAGCTAGCTGTATGTACACAACAACTCATGCTTTTGTCTTTTTGCACAGCTGAGTCCAGTTTAATGAAGGTGTGCCCAGGGCGGTGGAGGGAATGCATTCTGTGTTCCAGTGCGTTGGCTCTGTCACCGGAGCAGTTACTTTCTAGTAGCTCTTGCAGTAAGCCCTGCATGTTCTCCGAATGGTGGAGCTACACCAGAAGCTTCTCTGGGGGAACTACTAGCAGCAGTTGGTACAGGAAGATTCAGTACTGGATTATAAAGTTGCTTCAGCCTAAAAGACCACTAATGCTAATACAAAGCATGTTACCTCACAGTAAACTGGCTTTCCTGCCCAGTGTGCCCTAAGCATTTCCAAAACTTTTTTTTTTTTTTTTGAGACGGAGTCTTGCTCTGTTGCCCAGGCTGCGCTGCAGTGGTGCAATCTTAGCTCACTGCAACCTCTGCCTCCGAGGTTTGAGCGATTCTCCTGCCTCAGCCTCCCGAAGAGCTGGGATTACAGGTGTTTGCCACCACGCACGGTGCTAATACTAAAGTTTTTTTGCATTTTTAGCAGAGAGGGGTTTCACCATGTTGGTCAGGCTGGTCTTGAACTCCTGACCTCAGGTAATCCACCCGCCTCAGCCTCCCAAACTGCTGGGATTACAGGTGTGAGCCACCGCACCCGGCCGCATTTCCAAAACTTTATGAGATTGCTACACAGTAATATTTAGTACCTCACCCAAAAAGACCACCTGCTTTTTTTGTTGTTGTTGTTGTTTTTGTTTTGAGACAGAGTTTTGCTCCTGTTGCCCAGGCTGGAGATTAATGGTGCAATCTCATGTCACCGCAACCTCCACCTCCCGGGTTCAAACGATTCTCCTACCTCAGCCTCCCGAGTAGTTGGGATTACAGGCATGTGCCACCATGCCCAACTAATTTTGTATTTTTAGTAGAGACAGGGTTTCTCCATGTTGGTCAGACTGGTCTTGAACTCCCTACTTCAGGTGATCCGCCTGCCTCAGCCTCCCAAAGTGCTGGGATTACAGGCATGAGCCACCGCGAACAGCAAGACCACCTACTCTTTTCTCCTCCTTTGCCTTAATCAGTTTTTGCATTATTTTTTATTTTTTAACCCATTTCTAAATTAGGTTAGACAAATGAAGATAAGAAATAATGTCAATAGAAGATGTTGCAGAGGAAATCTCGTGGAGTGGATTTGATAGAACACAAAATAAACTTAGGAGTCCCTCCATCTCCCATCCTGTGCCGATTATGGTTCCCCTTGATGGGCTTATACTAAGGAATAAATTATAATTTTATTCATTGTATACATGTAATTACTCATTTATTTTTTAATTTTCACAAGATTCAATATGGGATTACAGCAAATAATTATCCCCAAAGTCAGAACTTTACTTCTACTAAATTGATAATATCTCCATGATTTAGATGTCTTGACTCTCAAAAAGTACAGTAATTGGAAAAATCCCTTTATAATCCCATGGTTATATTTGTATATGATATCGATTCTCCAATCTTGTATAGAGGCTATGATGTGAGTACAGCTATTCTTAAAAATGTAAAGTTACTTAATGTATGATTTCATTTCTATAATATTTTTGAGGTGAAAAAATTTTTAGAAATAGAGGACAGATGATAGGTTACCAGAAGTCAGGGTGGGGACAGGGAGAAAGGTAACTGTGGTTATAAACAGGAACCTTAACGGGATCCTTATGGCACTGGAACTGGTCAGTATGTTGACTGTAATGATAGATGCATCAACCTACACATAATAAAATTGCATAAACTTAAACATATACACGCACAATGAATGCAAGGAAAATTGGTGAAATCTGAATCACATTGGTGGATTGTATCAATGTCTATATCCTGGTTGTAATATTAGCATTTGCAAAATGTTACCACTGGGGGAAACTAGGCAAAGTGTAAAAGGAAACTCTATTATTTCTTACAACTGCATGAGAATCTACAAATATCTCAATACAAATTTCATTAAAAAATCCAAGAAAAGTCTCGTCAATCCAGAGACAATAAGAGATAATACAAGACCTTCAGGGAGAGGATAAGAGTCCCAAAACTCTTGAGATTTCATGGTTTAAAGCCCAAGGACACACTCATAGCAGCTGAATGTGCCAGGTGAAATGGCACTGCCAGTGTTGCTTCTCAGTCTCCTAGCTGTCTGAGCTGCAGTGTAAAGATTTCTGTAAAAGCAGAGAGAGAACAGAGGCATATGCTGGACCTCACCATCGCAGAGAACAATACAACTCAATAGTGTATAATCAAATGGCTAGAACACATATTCACAGGCTACAAGCAACAGACTTGCAGAAAATTAATTGTGTACTTATTCAGTGTTGGCGCCCCTGTAGGCTCCATGAGGAAGGGAAAAGGCTGCATCAGTCTTGTTCACCACTATATCTTAGTTCCTAGCACTGTGCTGGGCACATAGCAGCTGCTCAATAAAGTATTTGTTAAATGTTTTGAATGATAAAATGAAAAGCCCATGTGGCCTGTTAAAGTTAATATGGCTTCTCTCTTCCTTCTCTCCAAATCTCCCTTCCCCATTCTCTCTTCACCCACCACCTATACTTAAACACATACACAGAGTCAGTTGTTTCTGCCACATACAAGTCAGGCAGTCATTTAACCTCTCTGTGCCTCAGCCTCCTCATCTGTAAAATGAGGACAATAATAATAACGACTTCAAAGGCCAGCCATGAGGATTAAACGAATGCAAATTTGTAGACCACTTACAGTATTACCTGGCATGTAGCAAGTGCCATGTAAGTGTTTGTTAAACCGCAGTGCTATCCAAAGTTAGCACAGACTTCAGAGGTCAAAGCATGTTCCTCTTCAAGACTCCCCTTCAGACACCTGCCACAAGCTCTGGGGTTCCCAGGCCACCTGCATTTCTGACCAGCTGTCTCTGTCATATGCCCAGGGCCCGAGCACTGTCTGCTAGGGTGCCTCGGTTCTCACCCATGCAGCTTCTCTCTACACATGATGTTTCATTGCTATTTGCTTTACTCCCTCAGGTTTCACAGAATGACTCATAGAACTCAAGAAAGTGCTCTCCTTACTATTACAGTTTTGTTATAAATGACACATATCAGGACCAGCCAAATGAAGAGATGCATAGGGAGATGCATATGGGAGATTTCCCAAATAGAAGCTTACGTGTCCTCAGGAACGCTTCACCCTCCTGGCACTTTGATGAATGATTACCAACCAGTAAGCTCACCTGAGCTTCCATGTACAGAGTACTCATTGGGGTTCCATCATGTAGGCATAGTTGATTAAATCATTGGCCACATGGCTGAACTCAGTCTCCAGCCCCCATCGGCTCCCCAGAGGTGGGCCTGTTTATGTGGCTCAAAGCCTAAGCCCTCATGGTTGGCCGGCCCTTCTGGCGTGGCCAACCTTCATTCTGAAATCATCTTGGGCCCTCCATGAGTCACCTCATTAGCATAAACTCAGGTGCATTCCCAGAGGCCCGGCATGAATAACAAAGACAATTCTATCACCTGGGAAATTCCAAGGATTGAGGGTACCTCCCAGGAACCAGAGTCAAAGTCCAGTCAAATTCTTTATTATACAGCACAAGTTTACTGACTTGAATAGGCAGAGGGAGCAAGAAAAGCATTCTAGGAAACAGGTGTCTAAAAAGAAAGGCAGGAATAGTCTGCCACACTCATGGCATAGTAGAGAAACAGCCCCCAACTGATTGACTTTGCTATACAGTAGTCCCTCCTTATCTGAGGTTTCACTTTCTGCGGTTTCATTACCTGCAGGACAGTACAATAAGATATTTTGAGAGAGAGAGACTACATTCACATAACTTTCATTAAATTGTTCTAATTGTTCATCTCTTACTGTGCCTAATTTATAAATTAAACTTTATCATATGTATATACAGGAAAAAACATAGTATATACATGGTTCAGTACTATATGAAGTTTCAGGAATCTACTGGGGGTCTTGGAATGTATTCTCAGCAGATATAGGTGGCAACTGCATTGGAATGCATCAGCCTTGAGCCAAATAACCAGGGCTCTGAGTTTAGCACCAACGTTCAAGCACCTTCCTATTCCAGCAGCATCCGCCCTGATCCAGCATGGCGGCAAGAGCTTCTGCCAGTTAACACCCTGACTACACGGCAGACGCCTTTCCGGCACCGCCCGCTGAATAGATTAAATTTCTCCGGCGCCCTGTGATGACGCAAAAAAAACCCCGAGCGCGCCTTGAAAGAGGGCGGCCAGGTTTGCGCAGGCGCAGCGCGGCCGCGGGTGGGCGGAACTGGTCGGGATGAGTGGCGGAGGGACAGAGACCCCTGTGGGTTGTGAGGCCGCCCCGGGCGGTGGCAGCAAGAAGAGGGACTCCCTGGGGACTGCAGGCTCAGCGCACCTCATTATCAAGGGTACGGAGTGTCAGGGCTATAGTCCCTGGTGGTTCCTAGCACAGCCTCACCTCCCAGGCGGCGCCCTCTGACCCGGGCCGACCCCCGGCTCCCGGGCTGGCGCGCGTGCGTTTGTGCGGGTGGGGGCGTGGTGGTTGGTTCCCTTCTTTTTCCCCGCTCCAAATGCGTCCCACTACAACCAACCAGCCCAACTCCTCGTGTTTCCCCGCTTTCCTCGCCGCAGCCTGAGCCATCAGGCCCGCCCCTGTCCATTCCGCAAGCTCAGGACCCCGGGGCGCAGAGCCTTTGGGCAGCCTCGTGACCGACGTATAGTGAAAAGGGCGTTGGACTTGGGAGGCGGGGGTAGTCGCTTGGGAGTTGAGTGACTTCGGGTCATTGGCTTTACCCACTCTCCTCCCCGATCTGTTCCTGGTCGTGCGAGGAGTAAGTGAGATACACTTACGAAAGCGCCCTATAGCACCGTAAAGAACCGTTCACGTTCAGAAATGTCCGTGTGTCCTGTGTGCTTTGAGCTGGGAGAAGGTTACAACCTAGATTCTCACAGAACCTGCATTAGGTTTGACTCCTAAAGCTCACAACGCTGTTTCCTGCGGGAAAGTCTTTGACAGTTGAATTGTAGTTCTTTATATATACCAGATATATACGGTGCTTATATACAGTGCTTGTATTCGTATTTTTTCTACTTGACCTGCTTAAGAAGATATGTCCTAATAAAATTCATTAAAATAGAGAATTGAAATCTGCCCATCGTATGTCTGCAAAAATGAAAAATTTGGGGAACATTGCCAGTGAATGAACATGAATACCACATTTTCTTACTTTAATTTCTCAAGGAATTTTGAGATTTGCATTTTAAACTGCATAGCTGTAACTAAGAAGAATAATAAATTTAATCACCAAAAGACTTAAATTCAGAGCTTCTTAATGACTTTTTCAGACTTATGAAAAAGAGACTTACAGTGGACATTCACCATCCACCGTGATAAATAAATTACTGAAAGCCCCACTGTGTCTTGCTCTAATTGCACTCATTCCCCTCCCCCCTCTCAAGGTAGCCACCATTCAGAATTTGGTGTTTATTATTCTTGCGCATTTCTTTATAGTTTTGTGGCTTCTATCTCTATCCCAAAAGGAAATATTTTGAATATTTTTAAAGGTTTATGTAAGTGGCTTTAATCCTCCTGAAACTTGCTTTTTATTATATTTATTATAAAATACGTATTGTATTTTTTATTATATTTATGTTGATAAGTGTAACTCTGATGTATTTATTTTTATTTGGTGATTCATAGAATTCCATTATATGAGTATGGTTAAGGTGTTTCCCGTTTTTTCTTTTGATATTACACCTATGCTGTAATAAATATGTATAAATGGCCTTATTAATTTGTGCAAGAGTTTTCTAGGCTACATACCTAGGCATGAAAATGCTAGGTATACATGTCTTCAACTTTATTAGATACTGAAAGATTGTTCTCAAAAGCAGTTGCATCAGTGCACGCATCCACTGGCAGTGGATGAGATTTCCTCTTAGTCCGTAGTCTAAACTGGATTTTAACCTTCATCTCTTGGTGGGGAAGACAGAGAGTAAAACAAGCTAGAGATGATGCCATTTAGCATGGATTAACCCTGAATTTCATTTTATCTTTACAGATCTTGGAGAAATTCATTCAAGGCTTTTGGATCACAGACCAGTTATTCAAGGTGAAACTCGTTATTTTGTAAAAGAATTTGAAGTGAGTATTTAAACTTATTTTATAAAAGTACTTCCCTAATTGTTAGTGTGTTATTATACAGAAGAGAAATTCTCCAGTTTTAAAATCTGATTTTAGTTCATGTGTTCATAAAATATATGAAGTAAAAATGATGAAGAGGTAAAAATTGTTGTTTTTAATGGGATAAATTCCATACTAAACAGCAGGAGACATAAGTTCTGGTGCCTACTCTGGGGCATTTAATATCTGTCGATCTCAGGATTTTTAAATCTATAAAATGAGATACAGTGAAAAAAAAAGGGATTTTAGAGATTGATGGGTCTGAGTTGTCCAGACTCATTTTCTGTATTTTTTTTCCTCAATTGAGACATCACCAATCACTCAAGCAGTCAAATTAAAACTTGAGAATTATCCTTGGCTATTTCCTTTCTTATAGGTTCCACATTCAGTGACCACATCTTTTAGACGTTACCTAGATGTTTACCTCATAAATGTCCATTCTTTCTGACAGGTTTGCCTGCTTTATCAACCAAGTCAAATTAGTTTTCACCCTGCTGCCAGGGGAATCTAACATTATTTCACTTTTTAAAACTTTTGATAATATTTCTGTCTTCAGGATAAAGTCCAAGCATTGTTCTGTGACCTGGCTCCTGCTTTTCTAGCTTAACCACCTGCCACTCTACCTTACATACTATGTTTCAGTGACAGTGATGCACGAACATGCCATCTTGTTTCATATTACTGTAGCTTTGTACATTATAATTGGTTTATTGTGCTTTAAGTGGTAACTTCTCAAACTACCGTTGGGATGGTAAATGGTGTTACACAGACAATTTTGTAATTCTGTGTAAGTTTCAGTTTTTTTGAGACTGACCAATCGGGATGTGCAAACATGCCAAAAGGAGAGAACCTTTTAATAAACCCAGTTGATACAGAGGACTCAGGTAGAGGGCCGGAGCTGTTGCATTAGATAACCATTTCTGGGTGCAAAAGATGCTGTGACTCAAAAACTGTGTAATACTTTACAGGATATGTGCATTTTAGAATATTGTCTGGTACCTAGGAATTAACTAGATACATAACCAAGTTAATTATACACGTTAAGTAACATGTATGTTAACGTGTATAATTGGTTTAGTTAATATGTTAATTAATGTACATAATTGGTTCATTGTTCATTAAGCAGTAAGTTCCCACAATCTGATTATACCATATCGTCATCATTTAAAAAAATTAAGTCTTTTTTATCTTTTTGATATTTATTTATTTGTCATCATTATTTATTATTACTATGAATAAGAATAATGTGGGAGACACAGAAAATTATCCAGAGACTATTCCTTTACCGTGCTGCCTAAAATTCTTGGCTGTTCTTAAAAATCCTAGATGATCTCTGACCTCTCCTTGTCTTTCCGACTTTATTGTATACAACTCTTCACTCCTTGTGTTTCAGCCACAATTCTTCCTTTCTTTTTCATTAACACATCACTATTGTTAAGCATCAGCAATTCCATCTTCCTAAGATGCTGCTACTTCTCATTTTTCGCAGGACTCATTATTTTTGGTTTAGATTGCAGGTTAAATATCACCTCCAGCCCTTTAGTCCAAGGCCGTCATCAGTACACTCTATCATGTCACCCTAATTTACTTCTCTATATAGCACTGTATTCATTTTCTAAGTCTATGTAATAAATTACTACAAATTTAACAGGTCAAAACAGCTTATAGTAACAGCTGATTATATAAAGTCAAACAAAATGTGTCGAGCACTTATTTTATGTGAGGCATAATATCAGGAAGTAATGATTTACCAGTGAATAAGACAGACATAGTCCCACCCTTCATTCTTACAGTGCTTTGAAGAATGGTCTTTATTTTTGAAGAATGATCTCTGAAGGGCTCAAGAACATTTTATCAGCTAAGTTTGAGTTGCTTTTCTTGAAAAGTGCTTGATCCAGTCTTTTCACACAGTGACCAACACAAGAGCAATTGGTCTTCCCTCCCTCATTGGTCTTCCTGAGGGTTTAGTGTAGCGTAGAACCTCAGGCTCAAATGCCTTTTCTGTCTGTTATACTCTCCTCTCAGATTAAAGGGAAAAAGCTCAACGTGTTTCAGAGGCTTTAGGTTTGAATATACATCTGCATTATTTGTACTTCTTTTCTATCTTGGCCGAAACAATGATATCAGATAATGAATAAATGTGGTCTTTGCCCAAAGCGGCATGGTTAGATAGAGAAGAGCGGGGAAGCAGAGCTGCTGGTACCTCCTGGAAGTTTCGTCTTTTCTGTGCCATTTGAATATTGTTTACTTTAAGAAAAACTGGCTAGCACTTAAAGCTGAAGTTGTTTATATGTTTAAAAAACTTAAGATATATGGCAACAATTAGCTTTTTCTTTATAAAATTTTATTTGTAAAAGAAGGGAGTAAGTGCCACATGGTGGCAGCATTACTTAAATTACTGAAGCACTGTTAGGCTATTTTAAACTCTCTTTTTGTTTTCATTAGTATTTAAGGACAGTTGACTGTCTTTCTCCTAACTTTATGCGAACTCTTTTCCCCTTGATTCCAATGGACATTATGGACAGAGATTCATAAGGATCTCACCTTTCAGGTGAAATCCTTCCAGTGAGTATTCATGTCATAGTATCAGTGGGTAAAGGCATTGTCCTCTGTGCCACTGTCTTTCTAGCCTTGGAGGAACTGTTATGGCCTTTCTCATGTAGAAAAGAGCAGAGACTCATGGTAGTCAATAAGTATTTAGACATGCTTAGAGAGTATATAATCCTGTATAAGTTCCTTGTTTCGTTTTTAGCAAACTTTATTCATGCAATGCTTTATGGAATAGTTACTGAATACCTATGTATATTAGTACGGAATATGTTTAGTTGATAGTGACAGATATCTGAAAAATAGTGGATTTAACAAGTGCTTAATTTTCTATCACAATATGCAGAGTTTAGAGTTAGCATAGGGCTGGAATGGTGGTCCTATGATGTCAGCTTTTTCTTCCAGTTTTACCTTCTATCCCCCTGGGATGTTGCCTTTGTCCTTATGCTTACAAGTTGGCTTTTTTGTTTTGTTTTAAGACAAGGTCACACTCTGTAACCCAGCCTGGAGTGCAGTGGCAGTATCATGGGCTACTGCAGCCTCAACCTCCTGGGTTCAAGCAGTCTTTTTACTTCAGCCTCCCAAGTAGCTGGGACCACAGTAACCTATCCTCTGAATGGAGCTGCATAGCTCACCTCTCTGTTCTCAGTTGTGTTTGTCTTTGAACTGAGAGACCATTTTCTTGTACATGTAAATTAGTTTGCCATAAGGAATGAAATAGTTTACCCTGCTCTCTCATGATTCTTCCAGATTACAACGCCATGGCCGGCCTTTTTTTTTTTT